ACAAAATTCTATTTTTCAATGCTCAAATTAATAAAATCTTGGCCCAAAATTTATACCATACTTATTAACACAGAACCTAGAGACTAAAAACTAAGGAAAACAAGGGTATCAGAAGGCGAATGATCCCAAAACAGGGATACCAGATACAAGACACAGTCACACACACACACAACCATCGGAAAGCCTCTCCCTAGCAGCACATTACTGACACCAGCACAAAGAAAACCCTGGAGCTTTGATAAAGGTCAGAGGTCAGGTTCCTAAAGTACAATTAACATAACCAATTCAAAGACTACTGAAAAAAATCACAAAGTGTCTTACATTGCACAATTTCGTACAGATAACTTAGCCCAGTATCTCCCGTTAGAGAATGGATATTATGAAGTTATAAAGACTAGGATAAGTGATATTTTCACAGTTGGTTTCTTTATTTTTATCTTCTAAAATCACTTTGCTTCCTGTATTTCCATCTTTCCCCAATACCCCAAGAAGAACTGACCCTGAAACTATAAGCCCTTTTTCTTTCTCTTCCTCCTGTTTCATCTCACCTCATCTTCCCCTTGCTTAAGCACTAGAGTAAATAAATAAGCAAAACTCTGCCATCTGTGATCATACCACATATTCTTTTGGATACATTATACTCTCTTTCCTTATCCCCAAATCACCACGCACTTAGTGACTTCTCTCCTAACCAAGTTCTCTATAGAAACAATCCCTCTTCACTCTCACTGGACCACAACTACTTCAACACAAGCCCTACTACTGTATTTTATTTCAAAGTGTTTCTGAACTTCAAAAAGATGTAGCATTCTTTAGGAGCAGACCCCTTTGTTGCAATTCTGAAAGAACTGGGAACACAATTTCAAAGGATTTCCTCAGAGCCACAGCAACTACTGAAATAAATATCACAAAACTACTCCACCTAGTGGACTCCCATCTGCTGTGAAACATGTCCCTATACTCCTAAAAACAAGATTTTGGAAACAAACCTCTCATTACTCATTTTCCCCAATGCCAAATCATACAGTATTTCTACCTCATAGATCAAGAATTAAGAACTGCTTTTTTTGAGGGGTGGATTTTTTTCCCCCATAATATTAGTGGAAAGCCTTAAAGTTTTAAATTAAATACAATGGGCACCTCTGAGTTTGGCTAATCTGAAAAAAAATAAAAGATGAAGGAATAAAGGCAAAGATATACTTTCTTTAAAGGAGCAATACACCAAGCAAATTCTTAGCATTTTCTTTCAACTCTAAAATTCTTACTCCTTGAAAAATCTTTTGCAAGATTTTCTAACAGAGCAATTGAAAAGTCTTTATCTTTCCTGCCTGTCAAAAACTACCATGGTTTCCTCAGAAAGAACATAGTTCTCACAAGAAGGATAAAATTCAAGACATAAGGATTATTCTGCCATACTGATGTGAAGTTTACTTTTTTAGGAGTTCAAATAATACTGTTTTGAAGATTTTATTTTAGAGAGAGGGTATGAGAGGGAGAAAGTGAGAGAAACAGCAATGTGCAGTTGCCTCATGCACACTTCCAACTGGGGATCTGGCCTGCAACCCAGGCATGTACCCTAGCTGGGAATGGAACCGGTGACCTTTCAGTTTGCAGGCCAGTTCTCAATCCACTGAGCCATAGCAGCCAGGACTAAAATAATATACTTTTTTTAAAAATTGAGGATAACAGCCCTGGCCAGGCAGATCAGTTGGCCGGAGCATCGTCCCATAAACCAAAAGGTCACAGGTTCAATTCCTGGTCAGGGCACATTTCTTGGTTACTGGTTTGATCTCCAGTAGGGACATGTATGAGAGGCAAATGATAGATGTTTCTCTCCCTCTCTCTCTAAAATCAGTGAGCATGTCCTCATGGTAAGGATTTTTTTTTAAAAATTAAGGGCAACAGAAATTTAAAAAGTAAATGTATTTTCACGATAGGTTTTTAAAAACACTGTTAATGGAGAGAACGTTAGTGTATTTTTGAGGTAGCTATCAAATGTGCCAAAAGAAATGTTCCTCATGCTTTTTATTAATAAAGTATACTTATAGAAATAATATACAAATATGTTAGAGCAAGAACTGGAAAAACAAGACATAGAAGAACTTCAGATGAAGTCAGCAAGCACCAGAAGATAATTCCAGAACACTGTGTTAACAAAGCAGTATTTTAGGTACAAATACACTTCATTCAAAATTGTCAACCTTACCCAATTTCCTCACTTTCTTTAAGCATTTCATAATTTCACAAACCTGTAATCTCATTTATTCCATCCACAGAATTTGCCCAGTCTTCCTCCAAGTTATTCAACCCACTGTCATAGACATACCTTTAGCCTACATTCTAGAAACGACAACAAGACTCTCTTTCCCCTTTGCTCCCACCTATCGCACACAAAAAGAATAACCAGTAAACATACTAAACACTTGCTTGCCTATCCTTCATTCAGGATAGTGCTGCTTCCAAATACCACTTGGAGTTTTAAACTTTCCCACCAAGCTCTGAGGTAAATGCTACTACCTCAGAGTAGCCTTTCCTTAACAATTTTGTTTGGGGATATTCCATAAACTCTGCTGTCACTAAAGGTGGCCCAGCAACTGACTGCAATTAGAGCTACATGGAAGTCTCCTGGAATACAAAGCTACTATTTTCCCAACAAAAAGGGGCAATTTTGGCTATGTGTGCCTTTCGCCTTTTTCTCTTCCTCCTGCCTAGACTGTAGGCTTAATTTTTGGATATGCAGTAATCTTCTGCTGGACACGAAAATGAAACCACAGACCAAGGAGCAACAAAAGAGAAAGTGAGCGAGAGAGCGAGAGCGAGAGAGAGAGAGAGAGAGAGCGCGGGAGAGCGAGAGAGAGCAAGGGAGCATGAGCACCTGTGCCTAATGGTGATGTTGAGCAGGAACAGTAGCTCTGAACTTTTTCTACTTTGGAAAAATAACACTCTTTATGATAAGCCACAGTATAGTAAGGTTGCTATTCCATTTACTGGAGCACAATCTTAATGGATGCAAGGATCACTTCATCCTAGTCACAGAATGTTTCCCATGTCCAACTAGGCATGTCTTGATTTCAAAACTCGTCTCCTAAAGCTGTGGCAGTTTATTAAAGTTAAACATATGCTTATCATTGACCAACCAATACCACTCCTAGATATTTACCCAAGTCAAATAAAAACCCATGCTGTACTCTGAACAAAAACCTGTACACTGATATTTATGACAGCTTTATCTGTAATCATCTAATACTGGAAACATCCGAAATGTCCCTAAACTGGGAAATGGTACAGTCATATACGAGACATCCATGTAGGACAGAAAAAAAGCAATAGAAAGGAATGAACTACTGCTGCATGGAACAACAGACATGAATCTCAAATCCACTGTGCTAAGTGAAAAAGTCAGACTCAAAAGCTATAGACTATATGATTCCGTTCATATGATATTCTGCAAAAGTACAAATATAACAACAGAAAACAGATCAGTGGTAGTCAGGGACTCAAGGTTGGGGGAGAAGCTGACCACAGAGGGCATGAGGGGATTTGGGGGCATGATACAATACTATTCTATATCTTCAATGCGGTGATTACACAACTATATACATTTATCACAACTATGCATTAAAAGGGATGAACTTCACTATATGTGTGTCTTAAAATAAGTGGAGAGGATGGGGCAGGCACTACACCTCTTATAAGAAGCCTTTCAAAACAAACTGATGGCCTGCCTTCCAAAGACTACAAGTACCCCTTGACTAGACATTATTATCCTTACATGATTAAAGGTAATGCTTCAGGTTTTTATGGTCTCATGGCCACATTACATATATTTATCCTACTCACAGAAAGAGTATTAAAAGCAAGAGTCTATTCCTATCTGCTTTTGGTGATCTAGGCCATATATAGTAAAATCTTTTCCTTTTCAAATACTGAATGTTTACCTCTAATTCAAGCTAAACTACTGACAAGTTATTCAAAGATATCATAATGTACATTAAAATAAATATGAAGGTTGCTGAGGTTTCTCACTAACATTAGAAAATCAAACCAGTCTTCTGCCAGGGACTTTATATAAACACATGCTACCTAAGTTAGCTTGCATCTATAAATTCCTTAAGTTTCTCTAGCCAGTCGATTTTTTTCCATTAAAGCACTAACTAGTTGCACACCACCACAAGGGGGCATAGTTCACATTCCTATGGGGAAAGCTACTTTAGAAAGTGTTGCATTCAAATACAATCTATGTGGTTGGTCTTGGTGATTGTTCAATGCAATCAGAATTTAATGTTAAAACCACAGCAGTTTAATCAGTATTAGTTATATTACTAATCTACAACCATAATGATTAATCAGAAAAACACATTTCTGCCCCATTTCTTTAAAAAAAAGGTTTAGTTTAAAACATGAATTAAAAATTGAGTCTCAGAAGAATTTCTCCAACCACTTACTTGTATGTACTAAAACAGAGTTACACACATAATAAAAATATTTCCAAGGTCTATTTATATATATCAACATTTATAAGATCCCTTACGTCTATGGCTCCATGGAATATAAAGAGCCATATAAAAGATGTTCTTACATTTGTCGAACCTATAAATAGTTTTTTTAAAAAGTTACATATGCAAGGGAGGGAGGTGGGATTGGCTGGGGTGGAGGGAAGTAGTGGTGGGAATGCAGACAACTGTAATTGAATAATAATAATGTAATTTTTTCAAAAGTTAGATATACAAAATTCATCAATAGGATTATAATAAGGGTTAAAGAGGCAGAGAAGATACCAGATACTGTATTCAAAGAAGGGCAAGATAGTCCTGAAGGCAGATGAAACTATTCTCAGGGTGGCAGGATTTCAGCTGGGCTAAAGCTGTGAGCAGAACTTCGAAGACAGAGAACGTATGATTTTCTAGAGGTAGCAGCTTGAGTAAAGTCATTATTTGGATGTACTCAGCCTTGCCACAGTAAAAGATAGTTACTTCACTGGTTCTAGACCCTTTACTCACTTTCTCCTTTCTTCTCTCCATCTCGAAATCTCCTCTGGAGTGTCTAACTTGATCTTCTTCATACCTGGAGCATGCATCTAAGGGAAAAAAGCCTGCTTCAGGAAGCATATTTATGCTTTAGACTAAATCTCAAGCATTATGGGGGATAATGGAGACGCTATACCCAAAAGTTTAAAATGAGTAAACAGGTTTTACCCATCCTATGATTTTTCCTTTAAAGAATAATAATTTCCCATATATTCAAATTAGTAATATTGATAAGGAAAAAAGAGTAATATAATTTTGGTTACAAAGTAAATATATCACCCACTTTTCAATTGACATTAAATATTCAAATTGATGGCCTAACAACCAAAATTGAGGGAGGTAGCAAAAGAAATAATGAATACACAAATCAGTTTGAAACAGCATGGTATTGAAGAACAACCACAGAATTTTGAATAAAAGAAATTTCAAATGCAAGAATCAGTTCAGAGACCCTGGGCAAATCACTATTTTATCAGTTAAATGAGGTCAATATCTATCTACTTTACACAGTGGTTTGTGAGGATAAAATTGAATAATAGATGTAAAAACGCCATTCAAAGTACAAAGCGCTGATGAATGTTACTTATTGTTAGACTACGTGAGTGAAGAGCTGTTGAAGATAACAGATCAATGAAAGAAAAAGAACATGTATGGAAAAAACCCCACAGGAACTTACATTTCTCCAATGGAACTGGACAATCTTCTCATGTGCACTAAAAGAGCAATCAATTTCAGGACACTGTAAGAGTTAACAAAAAAAGACTATTCAATGTTTTTCCATATTAAGTATACCCTATTAACTACATATACAGACATACTGTGGTCATATTACATAGTTACCCCATCTATGTGGTGTTATCACTGCATAGTTATGTCAATAGTAAAACAAAAGTCACTCCAGAGTTGAATTTAAAAGGAAATGGCATTTTCAAAATATATAGTATAGTAATACATATTAACTTTAGATGTTGTAAAATGTTCTTTATTTCTAAAAGTGAGGGACATTTCTATCAATATAACCTTAAAGAAAACCTTTTTCAAACTAAGAACTTTCTTTTATAACTTTATTTCTCCAATATTCTGATTAAAAAATATTTTAAACTGATTTTAGAGAGAGAGGAAGGTAGAGAGATGGAAATACTAATTCACTGTTCCACTTTCTCATGCTTTCATTGGTTGATTCCTGCAGGTGCCCTCAATGGGGATTAAACCTGCAACTTTCGTATAACAGAATGATGCTCCAACCAACCGAGCCAGCGAGCCAGGGCTGGTTAAAAAAATTTTAAGTACTTAATAAGGTCCAGACCACCCTTAGAAAGTAATGGGCCATGGCAAATTACATGATGTGGTTATATAGTCAAGAGGAGCCTTACAGGGAAAAGAGCTTACAAAGGTGCACAGAGCAACTAGAGGGGTAACCAGCCCTGTTATGAAGCAGAGGAGGCCCACATACACTAACAGCTGTGAGACTATCCTTCTTTGCTGCCATCTTACCTCTTCCTGAAGCAGTGGGCTCCCCACCCTCAAACTGAAAATTCCAGGGTCCCAATTTATCAGGTCATCAAACATTTTTATGGACTATAAACTTTTAAGGAGAAGAGGCTCAGAATTTCTACCAAATATATCCATTTTCCTATATAAATCACAGGATAAGCAAGAAAACCTACTTTTGTATGTTCGGACATATGTTTATCATACTTTTCTTGATTCTTAAAACCACGATCACAGGTATCACAAAAACAGTGAAAAACGGGTTCTTTTCTTTTCTGCAAATAAGAATAAAGACGTGTTAGGCTTTTGGTGGAAAATCTTTAATCAATAATAAAAACATAAGTATCCTTCTAGCAATACATACTTTGATTTTTCACATGACCCTTATATGTAGGGGAAACTCCTGAAGACATTACTAATGAAGAGATAATTCTGTCTCTTCTTTTTTCTTTTATTTTAAGCAACTATATTAGAAAAAGCTAGGCACAACAAAAATTTTTAAATCTGAGTAGAGCTAACATAAACAGTGAATAGCTTGGAAAGTGGTGATCTAATTAAAGAACATGTATCAAGACCATCTAAAAATAAACATTTGGTGTAAAAACAGCATTTCATCTTTCAAAAAAACCTATGTGTATATATATGTAAATATAAGTATATAAAAAACTACAGAAGGAGATAAAGAAGTATTTAGGTAAGGATCAATTATTTTTTTATTCCCAATGTTATATTATGCTTAGACATTGATAAACTCCATAGGAAATATTTAATGTTGAGAGATATTAATAAATATAGTACGATTTCACAGTATTTTGTTAATATTAGGTATTAACAAAATATTTTGACGCCAAAATAATCTCACTCAACTCATTCTAAATTAATGACATTATTTACATATTTTAAAAGGTGAAAGACCAGATTATGAACTACATCAGATAAAATAACCTCATTTTAAATTTCACTTCTCAATATAACCCAGAGTTGTTCCTCCTTTAAAAATATAGAAAAGACCTTTATCCCTTCTCCCAATCTTCTAGTAATATATACATATATAATTTATGTGTTATTTTTCACTCCACTGAGGTTTAAAAACATCTTTATCTGTAATTATAATTTTCAATAATACTTACTCCTGATACTATATTGAAATTAATTCAATGTTTCTTTTTTCTATGATTTCTCCATTTATTTCTCAAAAAGATTTCCCTTGAAATTTTCACTTACAGCTAAGATTTCCTAAAGATCCTATTATAGCAAGGCTCCACTGTGTCAATAATGGATGCAAAACACTGAGAGTTATTATAGAAGCATAAGATAAGGAAGAGTAACATTGGGACCAAAGTGCTACATTCAAGAACATCTTCGAAAATACCTTTTTTTTATGTTTTCTACTGGGAGGGAAGCTGAAGTCAGTAAGCTTTGCATCATATTTTTGTGGAAAATAAGAATGTTTAACTGAAAAACAAAAAGAGATCCATAAATGTTTACAACTAAACAATTATTTAAATTTTTATTTGCTATAGCATGTCACAAATACTTGAGTAAAAACTGCTTGAACAATTATAAAAGATTAAGAGTAGTCTACCAAGAAAGCATTTTTCAAATTAATACATAGTGGTGAGATTAAGTGTCCATGAACAAGCTAATCTGATAAAATTTCCTGTAGTTGTTTCAAACAGTAGAAATTTATCAATAAACAGTAAAACCCCTAATACAGCTCTTTCAACATCAATTTTATTATGTTGAAAACAACCAGGAAAACAACCCTGTGAAACACATTTTTCTCTCAAATCCTTTTCCTTTCTTATTGCCATGATCCAAATCTGAAACCCTGATCTACTGTGATGGCCTCCCAACTGTTTTCCAGTTTCTAAAGTCCTCTCTTCCAACAGACCCTGTGCCCTGACATCACAAGAACAATCCTCCAATTGTCACAGCCCTGCTCAAAATCTGCAGATGGCTTCCTAGAGTGCCTCATTGAGATCCCAGCTTATTTTCTTACTCTTTCCCCGTACCTTCCACATACTCTGCTTCAGTCACAGTAGAATACGGCAATCTTCAGAACTCATCTTATAGTGACACCTCTTTGCCTGTGCCTAAAAAGTTATCTCTTTTTAAACAATTTCCAAGACACTAGTCCAAAAGCTGTTCCCAACTCCTCAAAACTATGAAGGCACTTTTTACATATCTCCATTACCACTCTCACTGTATTGTTATTTACATTTATGAACCCATCTCAACTAACTTAGTACTGCCTCAGGAACATTCATACCCTCAGCATTTGGCTTAATTGACTTAATTGGCTTAATTGGTAAACACTGACTTATATTCAATTTCATCTAAACTGAATCTTATGCAAGAGAATGGTGAACAATCTCAAGATTTTAAGTATGATCTATATGCTGATAACACCCAGCCACAAATCTCACCTGAAGTACAACATAGCTAACAGCCCATTTAACATTTCTATTGATATTTGACACACATATATCAAACTCAACTCCTGGTCTTCTTTTCAAATCTGCTTTATCTGCATCCTTCCATTTGTTTGGCAAAACATTTAAACTAATCTTCTCTCCTCTTTACCTCACACCCCATATCTGATCCTTCAGTAAATCATTTTGGCCCTGCCCTACTTTCAAAATATATGTAGAATCCAACTATTTCTCATCTCTGGTCCAACTCCCCACTCTATCTCACCTAGAAAACTGCAGTAACTTCGTAACTGGCCTCCCTTCCATTCACTTCCCACTGGTAGCCACATTAATCCTTTAAAAACATGTATCAAATCATGTCTCTCCCCTGCAGTATCAAAACCAAAGTCCCATCAAACTACAAGGCCCTCAACGGTCTGCCCTCTTCCCCAATTTTCTACAACACTACTCGTGGCCCAGTCCTCTTTAGCCATGCTGGCTTCCATTCTGATCTATAGCTCCTGCCTCAAAGCTTTCGCGGTTGCCATTTCTTCTGCCTTATCTTTATTCCCCTACATTGAATCCACAGACCTGATTCCTCACCTCCCTGAAGTCTTGGCCTAAATGTCACCTATCTTATAACTCACACTAACATTTAAAAGTGTACTACATATCACTCTGCTGTGCTTTATCTCCCTCCATACCACTCATTATCTTCATTCTGTCCACACCACTCACAGTTTCAGTCTTCTTACATCAGATGTTTAGCTTCATAAAGGTAAAAATCTTCGTATGTTTTGTTCATACGATATTCCCACTCCTAACACATAGTTGAATTCAATAAATAACCGCTAAATCGGAGGAAAGGGCGAAAAACATTCTTCTCAAATTGTGAGACATTAATGAACAGACTCCAAGAGTGCAGCGCAAAATCCTCAGTGGAGAGGGAAAGAAAAACTGGAGCGGGAAAAGGAAAAGAAAAGTAAATGGGGGCGTGGTACGGAGAGGAGTAACAGCCTACCCGGAGTGTCGTGGGCTTTCTGATGCCAAAGGAAACTACCAGGAGACTGTCTCCAGGGCCATGATGTCGAAGCCTGGGAACCCCAGGAAGGCTGGCCGTTGACCTGAGGCTGCGAATCGAGGCGGGACTGGGTGTCGAAGGGGGACTGAGCCCCCGGAAGAATCTGGCTGTCGAAGACGGGTAGTGCCCCGGTGACCGCCGGGGGCTGCTCCGAGCAAGGTTGCGACCCTCCTGCGGGAGGCGACGAAGGGGGTGGAGGCGGTGGCAACATGGCCCAGAGCATCCAATTGGGCGGCAGCGGGGCTGTGTCGCTCAGACGCCCCAACGTAGGAATCAGCTCCGGAGCTGAAAGCCACCCCGAGGCAGCCACAAAGCCACCCGCCGACTCTGCCATGCCGCCTGCCAAGTACGGAAGCGAGGAAGCAAATGTGGAACCTGCCTAATGCGTCACTTCCGTTACCACAAATTCCCAGGGATCAGCCAACCACAGGCTGAAGTGTCATTGGTCAGCGCCGGAATAACTTCCTGCGTTTGCGACGGGTCGCGGGCTGCTTTGGGGTTACATTTGTGTGGATGTATTTGCAGGCGTTATCAATATCCGCCGCTGCGCATGGCGAGGGATCTGATCGGGCCGGCGCTGCCGCCCGGCTTCAAGGACTTTGGGACGGCAGAGGACAAGGAGCGGGACCCTAGCCCGGGTAAGCCGCGGTGCCTGCCCTGCCTGCCAGGCCTTCCTGCCCCTTCTCTGGGCCGGCCTTGCTCTCTGAGTAGAACTTTAAGGCCTGGATGACTGGGAAGTGGGGTGTGGCCGCGGGCAACCCAACCTAACTTTCCTTTCCCAGGCCTTAGCAGTGGGGGAGGAGGCCATGGAGACCTCCGAAACAACTTTTGGCTTGTTAATTATTACAATGATGATGTGTTCCCATTTAGCATTAAATGGGCTAAACGCTGTGCGAAACTGTCCATACACGCTCAGTCGTTTAATTTTTCTAGCAACTGTGTAAGGTAGAGATAATTCTTGCTGTCGAGGAAAGAACGTCCAAACCTATAGACAAGTTTTAGGAGCGTTTATTTGAGCCAAATATTTCTGAACATGTCCTGAAGCAAGATCTCAACTGATTGAGAACGAAGAATGGCAGGTTTTCAGTTCCTTTTATGTATTTATAATCAAAGGTGAAAATGTAAGGAAGCTACCTGAAATCGGGTGGTGGTAGATTAAGGGTGAGATATGGGGAGCAAAGTGGGGAAATCTCTAGGAGTGAATAAAAAGCAAAGTGAAGAAACACATACTTATTTTATATCGCTGAGTTGTTAACAGTATTGTTAATTAACATTTACAGTAAAAAAAAAAAAAAACCATAGTATTGGAGGAGCCAATAACAGTGAGGGGTTCTGTACTTTCTGGTGGTCCTGTGCTCTGGTGCCTGCAGTTGTGCCTTTGAGAGATCTAGAAAGTTACTCTAACATTTTAAAGTTATGGTATTCTAGATGCCTAAGAACGATGGGCATGGCTCACTTAAGGTAAGCATTGACCTTTGCTAGGCCTGAGGTGTAACAACTCACCATTGGGAAATTGTGATCAGACCTGTGTGGTTACTTTTGGTCACTGAGTGTGTCACTGTTAGTGTGTAGCCCCTTTTTTTGTTCATATTTCCTTGTTATAACTGGGGACGTGGAGGCTCAGGCTGTTGCCCAGATCACACAGCTAGTTAAGTGGGAGAGCCCTATGTAGAATGAATCCGGTGCTCTGTGTCTGATTGCCTTTTGATATACAATGCCTGGCTCTTGGAGAAGATGCTTTGCTCTGTACCCTGACCTGCCTTCCTAGCTTTTAGTTATGTCATTGCATCTGACACAACAGCTCAGAGCTCAAACCAATTAGAATTTCTGACAGTTCCTTAGAAAAGCTTCTTCTGGCTTCACTACTTCCTGACACACCTGACAGACTGCTACATCCCTAAGGGCCCAATTTAAATGTCACCTCAGTGAAGCCTTTCCCAAACTCTCTCAAACATTGTCATACCTTCTTCTTTACCCATGGGGTTTTATTCCTACTTAAATACGTCATGTATTTAATACAGTATTTTTTAATAGTTTGTTGGCTTGTCTCCACCATTGCACTGTGGTCTTCTGGCCTTAACACATAGTAGGCAATTCATAAATTCTTCTCAGACTCCTCTATGACGCGGAATGCAAGCTTGAGGTGCCCTTGGTGTCACAGATGAGATATGAGACAAATTCACACGGACTACCGATTCCTGTGGAGGAAAAGGGACGGCCCGGCTACTCCCTCAAGGGGGCAGAGAAGCTTGACCACCCTCTCAAGGAGAGAGTGTCTGACCCTTGCCTAGACAGGCTTTCCTTGGGTTTAATTTGAGCAGGAATACAGGTACAGCTCATTGATCATTGTCAGGCAGTAAGGATCAAATAGTAGACAGCATACAAAGAACTATGAGGGCTTCTTCTGAGTCAGGGTCTATCAGCTAAAAGGCTACAAAACTGGGCAACAAACTCATTTCCTGCTCAGGCCTTTGTCATTTAACTAAGAGCATTCTTAGCGAAGCAGACTTCACAGGATTTTACATCTCCTCTCTCAGGTCTGATCATCCGGGGAGCCCGACCTTTCCAGCACAGGGCTGCACTGCCCTCTGTCATTGTTTCAGGGTTAAGTCAGGCACAGGAGGTAGATAGCCAAGGAATTTTCAGAGACTTCTTACAGATTCAGGGGAGTCAGGCTTCATCAAAGCGGAGAAGCAAGGGTCCATCACCCCCTTTCTCTGTAACCCCCCCAAGTCCATCCCTGAGGCCTCCACTTGATCATGACTGTCTTAGGTCATTTCCCCCTTGGGGAATCTTACCCGTCATTGGCTAATTGATCAAGCATTGGGGGCCAGTTATGAAAAAAGGAGCAGAAGCAGCACTCCTGCCAGGGAGATAAGCTTTGTCTCCTTAGTGGTTTATAGTCTGAAGGTCGCTCACTCAGCCTTAGCCATGAGGGGTTTATAACTTCTGAAACCAGGCAGGGCGGTTCCTATCACCTCTGTGCATTATCTATCTCCTTTCATATTTGTTCTGATTTGTAGGCTAGGACTGACACCAGAGTTGGAAAAGAATATAGCTAAAAGAGTAACTCTCCCATTGCTTAGTCTGACATTGGTTCTTTGATTACCCAGAGGCCACGTTTCCACCTAGAGCAGCAATTTTCAACCTTGTTCATCTCATGGCACATATAAACTAATTACTAAAATTCTCCACACCAAAAAATATATTTTTTGCTCATCTAACAAAAAGTATAATTTTGATTCATTCACATTGGATGGCTATTATTGTGTTGGCTGTTGTCATTCTTTAAAAAATATGACAGTCTAAGGGAAAAGAGGTCAGTGCCCCTAACTAGTCAGGAATTGCATATCAAGGGAGTGGACCAGAAGGAAGCAAAAAAATGACCAAACAGAAAAATATGAAGAAACAAGAATTCAAAAAAATGAGGAGAGGCTTAGGAACCTCTAGGACATCTTTAAACGCTCCAACATCGGAATTATAGGGGTACCAGAAGGGAAAGAGAAAGAGCAAGTGGAAAACTTATTTGAACAAATAATAAAAGAGAACTTCCCCAATCTGGCAAAGGAAATAGACTTCCAGGAAATCCAGGAAGCTCAGAGAGTCCCAAAGAAGTTGGACCCAAGAAGGAGCACATCAAGACACATCATAATTACATTAGCTAAGATTAAAATCAAGGAGAGAATCCTAGAAGCAGCAAGAGATAAGGGGACAGTCACCTACAAAGGAGTCCCCATCAGACTGTCAGCTGATTTCTTATAGGCAAGAAGGGGCTGGAAAGAAGTATTCCAAGTCATGAAAGGCAAGGACCCACATCCAAGATTCTTCTATCCAGCAAAGCTTTCATTTAGAATGGAAGGACAGATAAAGTGCTTCTCAGATAAGATCAAATTCAAGGAGTTCATCATCACCAAGCCCTTATTATATGAAATGTTAAAGGGACTTATCAAAGAAAAAGAAGATAAAAAATATGAACAGTGAAAGGACAGCAAACTCAGTTAACAGCCACACCTAAAACAAAAGCAAACTAAAAGGACAGCTAGATCAGGAGCAGAACCACAGAAATGAGGATCACATGGAGGGTTAGTAACAGGGGAGTGGGAGGAGGAGAAGGGGGGAGAAGGTACAGAAAATAAGCATAGATGGTAGGTAGAAAATAGGGGGGAGGGCAAGAATAGTATGGGAAATCTAGAATCTAAAGAATTTGAGACGTGGTCATAAACTAAAGGGGGGGGAATGGTGGGGGAGGGAGTGTGCCAGGTGGAAGGGAATGAAGGGGGGGAATAGAACAAGGAAAGTTATTTTAGCAAGGAAAGTTCCATTCTATCATGGTTGAATGAGTTTGGGTATTAATTTTTTTGTGATTCTCACAGTTATACTGTGTAAGACATGATTTCTGCCTTCCTAGCGTTGGAAAGACTGAACCACCATACACAAAATAGGAGTAAATGAGATTAAACTCCATAATAAATGATATCCAGCCAGTACTGTGAGTTCAAAAAGGAAAGTATAAAATGTCAACTAGGGGGTTGTTGTAGTAGTTGTGGCTAGTAATGACATACACGAGAAATCTTTAGTTGCAGGACCAGCTCTACCTCCTAATTATAAAAGCAGTAGTTCAGAATCATCAGACAGTGATGAGGACAGTAGTTCTTTGTATGAAGGAGGAAATCAAGAATCCGAAGAAGACGACAGCGGACCACCTGCAAGGTCAGTCACTTTCTTAATCCAGGCTTCAAACCTCTAGTATTCATGGGCTAGAACAGATCTCTAGAACAGGGATATCACATCTGCATTTATGCAGCACAGGAAGAAATCTTTTCGTGCGACATTTCTTTATACACTATACTTATTACAAAGAAATTTATTCTAGTAGAACATAGATGTGGAAATATCTAGTGTTTTGATAAATTCTTATAAATTTTTTCCTTAAGGTTTTATTAAAGTGACTGTTCTAAATAAACCATAGCATATATTTTTTTAAATTACATATGCACTGTTTGTTTTTAAGTTAAACGATTTCCTTCTAACGTAGCCTTACTACAAGCCCATGTTAGTAAGATGTCGAATTTTTGTTTACTATTGAGTAGGAAGGATTTTTTGATGCATTTTAAAGATTGAAATAGAAATAGCAACATAAAAATCCTTCCTTAAATGAGATTAAAAGCCAAAGTCGTAAACTTTTTGGCTCAAAAAACATCTAGCAAGCAGTTTACTATTTGAAACTTCATTGAGTGGAATCTTTACTATCACAAAAAATGTAGAAAATTGATACATTACTGCTCTAAAAAAAGTAACTAATCTCTATTTTAGGTGAAAAATAAATTCCAGGAGAATATTAGTAAAAGACTTATTGTGGTGTTTGTTTTTTCTTATTCAGTAAGGTTAATTTATTGCTTCAGTGTCTATACAATTAGTTGAAGTTAAAAATTGAAACTTCTGCCCTGGCTGGTGTAGCTCAGTGGATTGAGCGTGGGCTGGGAACCAAAGGGTCACCAGTTCAATTCCCAGTCAGGGCACATTCCTGGGTTGCAGGCCAGATCCCCAGTAGGGGGCATGTGAGAGACAACCACACATTGATGTTTCTCTTCCTCTCTTTCTCCTTCCCTTCCCTTCTCTCTAAACGTAATTGAAAAAAAATTTTTTTTAATTGAAATTTCTATGGAAAACATGTTGACATATATGCATAAAATTACACTACTGTGTTTCCAGAAAACAGAAGAGAAATCAAGGTGAAGATGATGATGATGATGAAGGATTTTTTGGACCAGCCCTTCCTCCTGGATTTAAAAAGCAGGATGATTCTCCTCTGAGGTATAATATATAATATTTCAGGCCAGTCTTTTCTAAGTATTTCAACTTGGGTCTACTAATTCATCCAAGAGTTGTCTGAAATTTTTTTTTTCACTTATATGTTTATATGACATTTGGAATTCGTATAATAAAAATAATTATTTAAATAAATGTCTAAATAATCACTTCATTTTAAGAAAAATGATTATAGCCCTGGGTGATGTAGCTCAGTGGATTGAGTGTGGGCCTGCAACCAAAGGGTGGCAGGTTCAATTACCAGTCATGGCACAGGCCTGGGTTGCTGGCCTAGTCCCCAGTAGGGGGCACGAGGGAGGCAATCACATTGATGTTTCTCTACCTCTTTTTCTCCTTCCCTTCTTCTTTCTCTAAAAGTAAATAAAAATCTTTAAAAAATTAATTAATTTTTAAAAAGGAAAATAATTATTTTTAAAAGCTTTAAAAAAAAGATTTATTTATTTATCTTTTAGAGGGGAAGGGAAGGAGAGAGGGGGAGAAATATCAATGTGTGGTTGCCTCTCGTGCGTCCCCTGCTGGGAACTGGCCTCCAAACCAGGCATGTGATCTGACTGGGAATCAAACCACGATCCTTTGGTTCGCGGGCCTGTGCTCAATCCACTGATATACATCAGCCAGGGCAAAAAAAAGAAAAATAATTATAATAAAAATAACTATATACATGTTAATGACATTTTCATAGTTTATAAAACTTCCACATCTTCTGTTTGACACTCACAAGTGTTCTGTGGTAGGCTGAGTGGAACATTATCCTTTCCCCCTTTTGTAAACAGATAAGGTTGCACACACAGTAAGTGGTAGACCTAAGACCTTGAATCCTGATATTTGACTTTTAATTCAGACTTTTTAATTTCATATTTATACACACACAGTATGTGTGGTGCCTGGCACAGAGTAAGCACATAGTAAATACTGATTCCTATCTTCTTGGACTTATAAAATTTTTAAATGATGAATATGAAATTGCACATCAAATTGTTTATAATTCATAGCATATATCCAATATGTAAGAAAAAGTAAAAAAAAAAAAAGACTGTTATACATTTTATATTCAGTTTATCACCATATTTGTCAACTCCCAACTTATGGAAGTAACAAGGATCGACAATCTACTGTCTGTTTTTGTATGGCCCCTAAGCTAAGGATGATATTTAAAGAGTCATTAGAAAATCAAAAATACATATGCAACAAGACCCAAACATAGCCCTCAAAGCCTAAATTTTCCCACCTGGCTCTTTGTAGAAAATTTGCTTAGGATATAATATTCCTTTCAAGAAAATAAATTATTAGATGTATAACAGTTTCTTCTTTAGAATTATATATTGCAATAATAAAATATATGTGAAACAAATAGGTGGTAGCATATAATGTAGGCAGAAACTTCATATACAGCCATAAAATGTCATGATTATATTCCCTTACTATATTTTAAAATGTCATGTACCACTACTTTTATCTTTACTAATACCCTGAGGCCAGAGAATTGAACTGTAATTTCTTCTTTTTTTTTTTTTTTAAGATTTTATTCATTTACTTCCAGAGAGAGGGGAAGGAGGGACAAAGAGAGGGAGAGAAATATCAATGTGTGGTTGCCTCTAGCATGCCCCCTACTGGGAACGTAGCCTGCATCCCAGACATATACCCTGACTGGGAATTGAACCAGTGACCCTTTGGTTCACAGGCCCGCACTCAATCCACTGAGCTACACCAGCCAGGGCTTGAACTGCAATTTTTATTTGTAGATCTGCTAAAGAAAACTGTACTCAGAAAAAAAACCCATGTAGTACTTTCTTCTATCTAATGACAGTTAATTTGATCTTTCTGACAGTGCCAAACTTCCTTTTTATTTACAAAATTGTTTTTGTTCAAACAAGTTTTATGAATCAAGACAGCAGGTTATGAAATGGCTAGCATCAGAACTCAGACTTGACTTTAACAACTGTTTTTCCTCTGCCAGGAAGCCTGTCTGTAAGGTTTTAATGAATAGAATGCAATCTGGGAAATTGAGCTCAGGACTTCAATACCATCTTGGTTGGTAATACTGGCACAGTGACATCTCTGGGAAGAACACTGGTATGAAAGAAAGAATAAAGGAACTTAAAAGTATGAAAGTGTAGAAAATACCTTTTTGCTTATTTTTTCTCTATACAAAATAAGGCTTTCTTTTTTAAAAATTATTTATACTCTTTTTAGCTTTTTTAAAAAGATTTTATTTATTTATCTTTAGAGGGGAAGGGAAGGAGAGGAGAGAAATATCATTGTATGGTTGCCTCTCGTGAGTCCCCTGCTGGGAACTGGCCTGCAACCCAGACATGTACCCTGACTGGGAATCAAACTGCAATCGTGTGGTTCGCAGGCCCACGCTCAATCCTCTGAGCTACACTAGCCCGGAAGTTTTCTTTTTTTAAGATCCAGAATTTAGGCACTCTTTTTTCTGGATTGATGACAGTTCCCTCAGAATGTGAATAGGGAAGCTTAAAAGAAAATGAACTTTTCATCAAGTAGACTAGGGTTCATACTCCAGCTCTGCCACTTACTAGTTTGTGTTATCCTTGAGTATGATTTTGCTTACCTAGAAAATTGAGTGACTTATACTGGGTAGGGTTATTTTATGGAAACAGAAAGATGGAGTAGTTGAAGTGCACAGCACCTTTTCCTTTTTCTCATGTTAACTGTTTTTATTCTTGTACACCTCCACATCATTTTTGGATTGTTATTGAGGATAAAGCTTAGATTTTCATACCTTATTAGCACACGTAAACATACATTGCTGACATCTGTTATATGCATGTGCTGTAGGTGTCCTTCAAATTCAATTTATACTTAAGTAGTTCTGACTATAATTATAATGCCCCTAAGGTAGCAATGGACAATGAATATCAAAACTGAAAACTAAGGCACAAAATAGAAAAACATCTTTATAGGCTTTAGTCCATAATAACGATTTAGTTTTTAATTACCATTTTTTCCTTAACATAGTTCTTTTAGGAAGTAGATGTGCACCACTGACATAAAGGTTGAGAATTACTGGATTAGTATGTAATCATTAACTAACAAATAGAAAGTAAAAATCCAAAAATTAGATTTTTTATATTAAGTGGGAAAATACTAGGTTATAGAATAAAAATAATATGTTAAATAAAATTCTTATCTCCAACATTTTTTATTATCTGGCTTTGTATTATTATTGTGAATTTTATTCTGAAAACTGCTTTTTAAAATCAGAGGAAATAATAAAGTACATTTTATTTTTTAGGCCTATAATAGGTCCTGCATTACCACCTGGTTTTATTAAATCTACACAGAAAAGTGGCAAAGGCAGAGATGATCCAAGACAACAAGTATCAACCAATTTCAACTCTGAGGTTTGGAAATTTTTTTTTTAAATTTTTTTGTTGATTATGCTGTTACAGTTGTTCTATTCCCCCTTTCATTCCCCTCCACCCTACCCCCCCATCACCACCATTACCCCCCCTTTAATTTATGACCATGTGTCTCAAGTCCTTTAGATTCTATATTTTTCCATTCTATATTCTATTCTTGCCCCCCCCATCTATTTTCTATCTATTGTCTATGCTACTTATTTTCTGTACCTTCTCCCCCTTTCTACTCCTCCCACTCCCCTGTTGCTAACCCTCCTTGAGATCTTCATTTCTATGTTTCCACTCCTGATCTAGCTGTCCTTTTAGTTTGCTTTCATTTTAGGTGTGGTTGTTAATAACTGTGAGTTTGTTGTCCTTTCACTGTTCATGTTTCTTTAACTTCTTTTTCTTAGATAAGTCCCTTTAACATTTCATATAATAAGGGCTTGGCGATGATGAACTCCTTGAATTTGATCTTATCTGAGAAGCACCTTATCTGTCCTTCCATTCTAAATGAAAGTTTTGCTGGATAGAGCAATCTTGGTTGTAGGTCTTTGGATTTCATGACTTGGAATACCTCTTTCCAGCCCCTTCTTGCCTGTAAGGTCTCTTTTGAGAAATCCGCTGACAGTCTGATGGGGACTCCTTTGTAGGTGACTGTCCCCTTAGCTCTTGCTGCCTCTAGGATTCTCTCCTTCATTTTAATTTTGGCTAGTGTAATTATGATGTGCCTTGGTGTGTTCCTTCTTGGGTCCAACTTCTTTGGGACTCTCTGAGCTTCCTGCATTTCCTGGAAGTCTGTTTCCTTTGCCAGATTGGGGAAATTCTCCTTTATTATTTGTTCAAATAAGTTTTCCACTGGTGGCTGTGCCTTTCCCCCTTCTGGTACCCCTATAATTCAGATGTTGGAGCGTTTAAAGATGTCCTGGAGGTTCCTAAGACTCTCCTCATTTCTTTAAATTCTTGCTTCTTGACTCTTTTCTGTTTGGCCATTATTTGCTTTCTTCTGGTCCACTCCATTGATTTGAGTCCCAGTTTCCTTTTCATTGCTATTGGTGTCCTGTGCAATTCCATTCATTTCAATTAGTTTTGCCTTCATATATTTGTCTAATTTGTGGCTATAATCAACCAGTTCTGTGAGGATCCTGATGACCAGTGTTTTAAACTGCGTCTGAGAGTTTTGCTATTTCTTCATTGCTTAGATCTATGGGCTCTGGGGCTTTGAGATCTTCTTGCGACATTTTTGGTCTGTTCTGGCCCTTTAAGTGTGAGAAGCAGCGCCTTGGACTCCCAGGTCGCTGAGTTGTGACGCTGTATGTGGGGGCGTGGTCAGAGCGGGGAAATGGCGACCCCCTCTGCTGTTTCTCACAGCTGGGTGAGGATCAGCGCCTTAGGTGGTTCACCAGGGCCGGGCCACTCAGAGTTGCTGGGTTATGACGCTGTATGTGGAGGTGGGGTCAGAGCAGGGAAATGGCGTCACTCTCCCAGCCGCTTGCCACAGGGATCCACCGGGCTTTGGTCCGGTCCAACCGCCCACTCCGTCGCCTGTCCACCCTCGCACAAATGCGCGACCACAGTCAACACGCAGCCCCGCTCCCCCGCTGTCTCCTCCACGGTCCTCTCTCGGTCGCTCACTAGGTCTAACCCTGCACCTGGGTTCCCTGTGCCTGGATTCCGCGTGCCTGAGTCCGTCTGACTGAGTCCTCCTGTGCAATCCCGCTTCACCAGCCGCTGGTTTCGCCCCTTACCGGTCAGGCTGAAGAATTTTTTGTTAACAGACTTCCGAAAAGTTCAATTTTCCATGTTCTGGCTGTGTTTTCTGTTGCTAATATTTAGTTGTCTCTAAACTTGGTTGTGTGAGAAGGCACGGCACATCCACCTATGCGTCCATCTTGGCGGAATGAAAATTTTTTGATTAAAGGATAAAATGTAACAAACTCAAGACTTTACATAATAATGACTATAGTCATTTGACTCATGTAATGTAAGACAGTCGTGTTCAGATTAACTTAGTATCATAACATAGGTAGATGTAATCAAAGGCTTATGTTATAGACTTGAGAGTCTATTAGAAAAATAACATGAAATGTTGGAAGTGTATTATCTATTGATGCTTCTCATCTTCGAAAGGAGGCTTCAAAGTTCTAGACAGTAGAACATGTTGAAAAGTTTAAAGAATCAATATGATTTGACCCAGAATAGAGAAAGCTGCGGAATTTTTTTTTAACTTTTTTATTGATTATGCCATTACATTTGTTCTATTCCCCCCCCTCCATTCCCCTCCACCCTGCATACCCCTTCTATCTACTGTCTATGCTACTTATTTTCTGTACCTTCTCCCCCTTCTCCTCCTCCCACTCCCCTGTTCCAACCCTCCATGTGATCTTCATTTCTATGGTTCCGCTCCTGATCTAGCTGTCCTCTTAGTTTGCTTTTGCTTTAGGTGTGGTTGTTAATAACTGTGAGTTTGCTGTCCTTTCACTGTTCATGTTTCTTTAACTTCTTTTTCTTAGGTAAGTCCCTTTAACATTTCATATAATAAGGGCTTGGTGATGATGAACTCTTTGAATTTGATCTTATCTGAGAAGCACTTTATCTGTCCTTCCATTCTAAATGAAAACGTTGCTGGGTAGAGCAATCTTGGTTGTAGGTCTTTGGATTTCATGACTTGGAATACCTCTTTCCAGCCCCTTCTTGCCTGTAAGGTCTCTTTTGAGAAATCAGCTGACAGTCTGATGGGGACTCCTTTGTAGGTGACTGTCCCCTTAGCTCTTGCTGCCTCTAGGATTCTCTCCTTCATTTTAATCTTGGCTAATGTAATGATGATGTGCCTTGGTGTGTTCCTCCTTGGGTCCAACTTCTTTGGGACTCTCTGAGGTTCCTGGATTTCCTGGAAGTCTATTTCCTTTGCCAGAATGGGGAAGTTCTCCTTCATTATTTGTTCAAATAAGGTTTCCACTCGTGACTCTTCCCCTTCTGGTACCCCTATAATTCGGATGTTGGAACGTTTAAAGATGTCCTGGAGGTTCCTAAGCTTCTCCTCATTTTTCTGAATTCTTATTTCTTCATTCTTTTCTGTTTGATCTTTTTTTCTTCCTTCTGGTCCACTCCCTTGATTTGAGTCCCAATCTCCTTTCCATTACTATTGGTTTCCTTTGTATTACCATTCATTTCAATTAGTTTAGCTTCCATATGTTTCTCTAATTTGTGACTAAAATCAACCAGTTCCGTAAGGATCCTGATAACCAGTGTTTTGAACTGTGCATCTGAAAGACTGGCTATTTCTTCATTGCTTAGATCGATCGGTTCTGGGGCTCTGAGTTGTGCTAGAGCCATTTTTGGTCTATTCGGGTCATTAAGTAAGCAGAGCGAAGCCTTAGTTGTTTACCAGGATGGGGCCACCCAGGTCGCTGGTTTGTGACGCTGCGTGTGGGGGCGTGGTCAGAGAGGGAGCAATGGCAGTCCTCTCCGCTAGCCCAGTCCGTCCAGTCACACCACTCGCCCCTGGCCTGTTTATCCGATCGGAATTGTGCGAGCCTGCTGCCCCGCGCAGGCTCCCCTCCTCACTGGTTTATCTGCACGCAGATGCGCAACCGACCGCAGACAGCCCGCCGCGCCTCTTCCTTGTGTGCTCCTGTAGCTAGCCTGCGATCTGCGCTTTTGGCTGCTTGCGCACCGCGCAGCACCCGTTCGGGGATTTTTTCTTGCCAACCTGCTCCACTGCTGGCTTCACTCCTCTTACCGGTTTAGCTGAGCATTTTGTTGTCTTCGGACTCCGTATTGTCGATTTTCTGTGTGGCTTGGTTGTGTTTATTGTTGTTAAAAATAGTTGTTCTTAGATTTGGTTGTGCACAGAGGCAAGGTGGTTCCACCTACACCTCCATCTTGGCAGAGGATGAAAGCTGAGGAATTTTAAATGAATGATCTTTATCTTGAATTTAACTCTCTCTTACCTAGCTCTGGTACATATATATAACAAAGGCACTGGTGGATAAATAATTTTATGAAAAGATAGATCAAATGATTTTAGAGTCAAGTGTGAAGATTGTTTTCTTGTTAGAAGCCAAGTCTTCAACAATAGCTGAGATTTGTACAGTACTTTATAATTTATAATGTGTTTTACTCAAACAGATATTTTTATTTTCTCCATTGCCTTATGAAATAGATACTACATTTTACAGATGCTAAAAAGCAGAAAAGTTGGATAACATACTCAATATTGCAGAGTTTATATTTATGAAGCCCCAGCTCTGAGGCCTTTAAATCACCTGTTTACTTTGTTGTTCTGCATGGAATTCAACAGTTACACTGAGGTTGTTATTAAAGGAAATATGCAATGGTTAAGATCAGAAATTTCATTAATTCATTCTTTCAGCAATATTATAGAGCTCCTATAGTGTGTCAGGCACATAGTCACAGAATGAATCTGTCAACAAATTCTTTTGTTCCTACCTTCAAAAAATATCCAGAATCCAGCCGCTTCTATTACCACCCTGGTCCAAGTCAACATCACATTTCACCTGTTTTATTGGCTTTCATGTTTTAGCACTTGTTCCTCTTCTCAGTGCAGCAGCTAGACTGGCCTGGGTGGAACAAAGTCAGATCATGTCACAGATAAATTGCTCCTCCTACCTGCGTAAAGCCAAAGTCCTTACAGGGCCCTCTATGATCTGGCCTCCACAAATAGAATAGGCAGGCTTCTACACCAGAGCCTTTATACCCGCTGAGTCTCTCCAAAATGGTCTTCCCTAGACCTATCTGTGTCTTGCCTCCAAGACCTTCCATTTTTTGCTGAAATGTCACCTCAAAGAGGTCCCTTTTTAAAAAATATACCAATTTTATTTTAAATCTATTTTCTTGATTATGCTGTTACAGTTGTGCCATTTTTTCTTCTCTCCTTTATTCCCCTCCTCCCTGTATACCCCTCCATCCAGCATTCTCCCCCATTTACTTGATGTCCATGGGTTGTATATATAAGTTCTTTTGGCTTCTCCATTTCCCAT